CACCTAAACGAATAACAAGACTCATACACGATATCCTTATTAGTGAACGGATAAAGTCGCTCTGGCTTTTTGTCGTAGTCCAAAATTTAGTAAGCTGATTGTGTTCACGATGTTTTTACTCGGTGCTGTTGAATTTCACATGAAAACAAACAACAACAGACAAAGAACATAAATTTGCTTCTAATGCCGATAAAGATAAACACAGAGGTAAAATAAAACAAAATAAAATAAAATAAAAATAGGCAGGAAAACACTAGTAGGTTCTTCGACAGTTGTGAACGCAAGGTCCCCGTGAGAAATTGTTAAGGAAACTCACCAGGAAGGTCTTTCAGGGCGTGACGAGCTTTTTGAAAACGGTCTTTTGCATGATATAGGGGCAGATGCGGGAACCACAGAACCATGTTCAATTTTTCCTGAACGGCCCTCTGAATACCAGAAAAGGAGGTCCCTAGTTCGATTCCTCGTGGTAACAAATTTTTGCATTTCGGATGTTTTCAAAGCGATGCATAAGCTTTCTTGCATTCCTGGAAGCTTACTAAGAACTAGCCTGAATTTGAGTTCTGCATTGATCAGAGTCATTCTCCCTTGCAATTTGTTGAACGGACAATTCTCCAACCGTCCGTATCCAGCTCGTAGAAGCGTGCCAGATGAGCGCTCGAATTGCCATTTTAGGGTTCGCAATGGATCTCATGCTGAGTTTGTCAATAGACGAGAAACACGATGTTCGCGAATGGCAGTCGTTCGGGTTTATCGAACTCTTATGAGCACTTCGAAGAAAACCCCTTACTCATTCCTTCAGGAGCTGATTGACAATGAGTTCTTCCACTGTTCTCTGACTTAACAAAACTCCATTTTTCAACATTAATAGATGTAGAACAGAGCTTTTGCAATCTTGCTAAGAAGTGGGACGGGTGGAATCGATGGAAGAAGTTATACTGGAAAATGGGCTCATTCCAAATGCATGGCTCAATATCATCTTTGGTTACGGAAGGTACATCCCACCTTGGATATAAAGGTGCCGGGATTTCCGTAGGGAAACTTCGCTTAGATGGCTTCTCTCTATCAGTTCTCCTTCTTTGCCACCCACCAGGACGCTCCTATTCGACCATCATCAATTAGCCTCGGCCGATCTGGTGCATTTAACTTTTACTCAGCGGGTGGTAGGCTGATCTCTAAGCAACCGCAATCAAAAGAACTGTAATTGCGGCGGCTCGCGCAAGCCTTTGCGCAAGAGGAAACGTAAGGACACCGCAATCGCGCACACCTCAATAAGGCAGTTATGGGCTGAGGGCGAAGTCACATCTGTTGCTGCTACTGCGAAGAACCTGCCGAGTAGCGCGGCGACCCTGCGACCTGCTCCACTTCGACATTCAATCCGTTCCAGCCTCTTATGTAACCTCGTTAGCGGAAGAGCTGCAATAGTGGCATGCACGGTAATGTTTACCGTACTCATAAATCGTAACGATATCCGGTAGGTGCTTGACGAGCAGCCAAGTGGGACTCGGCGATGCATGGAATTCTCCCAATGACCGAATCTGTCGAACATCTGTCCCTTGACATCACGCAAGCTCATTTATCTTGGCTTTCAGGGCAGTGGATAACCCTCATCGGCCAAGGTCTTCGTCCGTGATTCTTCACCAACCAAAGTTTGGCGCCTCTTCGGCGACGTGTCCTTGCCTTTGTTTCATATGCAAATTACGGACTTAGCACGAGCCGCGCCAGTCTTTATTCAATGACGATGTGTCAGATTACTGTCGGTTATTGTCCGTCATTTACAGCCACTTAGATTAGCATAAGTTTGTTGACAGTCAGCCGCTTCTCGAGAGCGACTATTCTGAGGCGCTTTCGGCCAGCATAGCCTATCGACGAGCACCAAAGGCCACAACCCACCTCATCCTTGGCCATTTAGATGACCCTCGTTTGGTTGTTTAATAGGCTAGAGGGGCCTAATTAGAGGCCACAGTAGCGGGACAGAGTTACAGCTCGAAACACGGATCGCCAGGTTAGGGAGATGAGATCAACTCAACCTTGGGCTAGCTTTTCAAGCTCTAGACGTCCCAAACTAGCTATAGGCGAGAGCAATAAGGTTTAAGTACTTCAGTCGCTATGCAACCCAATTGATAAATATCTTTCCCAAATGGGAAAGGTGCTCGGGAGAACCTCCAATAGTAGGTAATCATCTGACTTAGCTGATTTACGATCGCGGTGCCACTTTCCACCGCGGAACGATGGTAATCTCCAACGACGATCAAGTTGTAAACCACTACCTAAACGCGTGCTCTAATTGAGTCATCAAAGAGGACAAGCCGACCGTAACCTCGTAATAATTCCCCAGTAGCATACATGCGAAGATAAGTTCTGCCAGAGTGTTAATTAAGCTTAACCTCCAAGGCCCTATTCTGCAGATAAGTCGGTCGTGTGAATCCGTGCAGATGTTTGCGTGTGTGGCCTCCAATCAGTATAGAGTTTCTTTGTTTGGACACCGTTCCTACGAGCACATGTTCTCAGACCTGAGCGCTGGGTTCAGGTCTCAATAAACCTGGCGGTATCATGCTATATGGAGCACTTCATCGAGACACTAAATCATTCTTTAAAGACCCGCTCGGAAGCCATTTATCTGAGGTCGTTTCCATGGAAACTTCCTCGGTAGAAGGGAATCATATGGAGGACTGTAGACGAGAATTAGCCAAGCAGCGGGCTAGGGACCGCATGAGAAAAGAATTTGCAGTCTTTCTTGGGCGTTATCGCAAGACAAGGAAGCATCCTTTGGGCTAAGCCTAGGAAGGGTTAGGAACTCTGGGAAAAATGGAAATTGCTCACGTTCGAGTCTCCCTTCCCCCGCCTAGGGCTCCGAACCATTTCCAAAAAAGGGAATATTTGAAGCGGTTTCAAATGCGCTGCCATACAATGCCCGATAGCCGCTTTTTGGCATATTGCCCAGAGATATCTGAGAATTTGAATCATTAAAATCTATATTAGAGCAATTAGGGCACCGGTCAGCTCAGAGCACTATTCATGAAGAGTTTCTGAAGTGTCTGCCAACCTAAAGGTGAATTTCCGACAAGATTCTCTCCTTGCCGATTTGCCTATTTGTTTTATTTATTCATTGTTTTAGACAATAAAATAGGTGTTGGAATAATCGCTCGCGGTACCTTGGTTCCTTTTAATCGTTTCCTTCTAAAGTGGGCGAACCAAGATGGCCGATTCGCTATGAAGGTCCGGGACGACATTTCGACCGAAATTTATCTAAACTGATTTATTGAAATATTATAAAATCAACCAGAGTCCGTAGGAGACACTCAAACGAGAAACAACGACCCTGGATTTGTTCTTTCTCCGGCTTATCTCTCATTTTACCTGAAAAGCTACACCATACCTAACTCCACATGTAATACATCAGACAGTCAGTTTAGGCGGAGCGTGAACGGAAAGAAATTAGCAGCGCAGATGAGCGACAGATTGAACATTCATCCAAATCGCTGTGTTTTTTGAATTCGATTTTGTCTATACTGTTTGTTGAGGAGTCCCATCTCTTCCAGAAGCCAGTACTTCACTTTGTCTATGAAGTATTAGCTACCCTGAAAATTGTCAAATTTGCGACTGAAATTCATTGTTCACTTACATTCATTTATTTATTGGTTGAATTATCCACACATTCATTTACACTCACACTTCCACTCGATGTGCCCCCACGACAAGCAGGAGTATCATGCTTATGCACTGAATGTATTCGTTGGGCTAGCCTTTTCCTCTCTGTTCTTCTCGCTCGTTCGTTAGACGATGAAGGGAAGGCAGGAAAGGCGGGGCGAAAATTCCTCCTACAAACTGTTGCTCCAAATGCCAAGCATCCACAAACACAAAAATCATTTAACGGCTACATCCAGGACACCTGCGCAGAACTGATGCTAACTGGATGCTAACCGATAGGGGTTATTACCAGAAGGAGATCACCCTACAATTGGCTGTGTGGCAACTCATTGGTAGCATTTCAGGCCATTTGACAAGGTGATCAAAATACGTGAGAAAGCTCGGCTGAGTTCACCGGAACATAAATACATTGAATGATTTTTTTACTGCCAAGTATTCCAATGAAGACAGTGTTCGAATAAAACTAGGGATCCAAAGGACTTCCTGAGAAACCGTGAGAGGTAGCGACCAGAACAGATCACCTGGCCTCTAGTTCAGCCTTTAGGTCAACGCGAACATGGGTCGCAAGGAGGATTGCGGATCTTGAAGATTCTTCTAACATCCTTGTTTCTTCTAAGATCCTTGAACCAACCCTTTCTAGAGTGATTCAGGAGCTGTCGGCCTACAGATGTCAACTTTCACATTAACGGCTGAACAAGTGAAACTACGTCATTAGTCACGTCATTAACAACTAGCCATTACCTAATCCCAAGACCTACCAGTGTTGCGATAGCACTCTCAAAGTGGGTGCTGTGCCCAGTCGCTACATTTCCTTCAGTTACAAAATTTGCTAGGCCACCTCAGTGCATTAAAAGAGAGCATCCTTTTTCCGATCATAATTTTTTTCAGGGTGATTACACACCTATAAGGGGATTTGGTGGGACATTACCGTAACATTTTTGGAAAATGCTGTCAAAATGGGTTTGAGGGTCTGAAACATAACCTGAGGAAAAGGAGCAAATCGGCGAAAATCTATCAAGGTTGTCATTTTTCGTCAGCATAAATTATGTGAGATGTGGCAAATGAACTAGAAGCGAGCGCTTCGCACCTGCAAGTGCAGGGTCCAGCACCACGGGACGGAGGGATCAAGGACACTCGGAGACGCTGGCTGACTGGGCGCGATAAAAGCAGCACATCTGCAGCAGCTCCGAAAACGCTAACAAGAACCATCAAATCTTTCACATCAACAATTTCAATTTATTATTATTTATTCTTTAATATCATATGTACAGAACCCGTGATGCAAGACAAGTGAACGAAGTAAGGGACGAGAGAGATCAAGGCGAGATACAATGCAGCTGCAACAGCTGGGCTCATGGAAATGGTCGAGCTCCTGAAACAAATAGCGTTAATAAATTTTACCTAACTTGAAGCCATAAAAGACAGTTGGGAGCTTGGACTGACCTGAGTTGTTGGGTTGTGGAACCACTGGAGGGCCGTACATTGAATGAACAGGACTGGGATGCTGTGAAGAACTATTGGAGACAGTTGCTGAGGTGGGGAAGTAGACGTCGAACTCCATTTCAGAGTGAGCATAAATACTCGAGTTCACTGAGCACGACGGAGCTGGATAACTGAAAAAATGTAATTCGGATTAGGTACAATTAAGAGACCCTTCACTTACATAATAAAAATTATTCATTTCATTTCGTAATTATACCATTTTTTCTTTAGCCTTAGCAACTAATGAGCCTCTTAGACAAAGGTAACCAAGTGTTGCGCTGGGATCAGCTGGAAAGGAACGACGTATTTTGTAAAGTGTCGTCTTTCTTTTGAGACTCATGACTGGAGCTTTATTTGGAAAGTAGGCGAAATATTTAAGAATTTTGTAAAATTTTGCAAATTTCACCGTTTCAGCTCAACTATGTAAAGGATCTCTGGCCAGACCTGTAGTTCAAGATTTGTACGCCAAAAGTCGAAGCCGTCTTACCTGTTTGGTTATTGCCACCCTCGGCATGTAGCAAACTTTGCAGGTACTGTATATACCGTACTGCTTCTCGTAAAGTGTCCCGCCTTTCGAAGCGTATCGTATTGATTACCTTAGCTTTAGGGCGAACGCGTTCGCAGAAAATCAATGCATGGTTCACCTGTAAAAGCGAATTTACGCTGAGAAAATGGGGCAGCTAAGGTAGCTCGGTTTTGACCCATAATTTTGCGAAGAAAAAACCAATAGTAAAGTACACAAAGGAAAGAGAATATTAAATTATTGTAAAGGAAAAATATAGTAGCGCTGTTACCTGAATGCGCGTTTCTCTGACTTGGGTTTGGGCGATTACGTTCACGGGCGTTTCGTCGTTCCTGATTGGGACGAGCTCCTCGATGTTGTGGTGATGATGGCATGAAGCGCTCCGTGACACCGATACACGGTACAGTGACCGCCGTCACAGCCACCCTCACCTCGATGCTCCTCCCACCCCTACTGAAGCCCCGCCTCTGAGAGGAAGGCCAAGGTTATTGCCATGATAGGCGAGAATCTCATTAGAGACTTTGGAAAACTTGCTTCTCAAGGCGCTAAAAGCAATGCAGCTGGTATTCTATAAACAAAACAACAATTCTTTAACAAAGACTCACAATGAGAGTTTTCAGTTAGGTATTTAGGACACCTAAAGGGGAAACGGCTTCAGGAAATGCAGAGGGAATGGGAAATGCAAGCGAATAAGGTACTGGAGGTTTATACATATCTTTGACCTATTCGAAATGGAAATATTGGAAAAAGAGTTTGTCGAGCCTGTTGCTTGGGAATATGAAATCGTATCCGTGCTACAACCACTTTGAATATTGCGACTACTCATCAAAAAAGGAAAAGTTTCACTCGAATTTCGATCAAATCGGGTTTATTAAATCATATTGAACTGTAATAAAATTTTGTGCTTCTACACTGTTTTCGCCACCTGGCCTATCTTTTTAACTTTTTTGAACTTTTTGTAAATAATGTATGCATGAATATAAACAAATATGAAATAAATGTGAAACTCTAATTCTCCCTATGTCATTCAGAATATCACCGTGTCCCAACATTTTCCTTGAAATCGACCTTCCGTGTTTTATGATGTTAGGCCCGGTGCAGTTGGCTCCAGGCAGTTGTTTGGGCCATAACAGACGTAAGCATTGAATTGTAGTTGTAGTTTACGCAGATTTACGCCTATGATGCAGAAATAAAAACAAAGGGAAAGCGTAAGGCGAAACCCAGATAACAAAAGGAACAATTTTGGGAACATCTGGCAACCACAAAAAGCAAAAACACAAACAACAAACATTCAAAAATTATTTAAAAAATCATACTTTCTGGTGGCTTTCTTAAACGAATTTTATTTATAAATCCAAATGTCTTATCTAAGCAGCCTAGTAAACTCCTGGATGGCTTTGTTCACGAGAAAGTCTCTTCC